ATACTGTAAAATCTCCATTTCCTCTCCGCTCCAGGGGAAGGTTACTGCAAAATCCCTATTTCCTCCCGATCAGCTGGGACTGGGGAGACAGAGAATAGATGGGAGCGGGGCCAGTCAAATGTGGTATTTACCAGTTCTCCGAACCACTCAAAATTTCCGCTACCGGTTCTCCAGAACTGGTCAGAACCTGCTGAATACCAACTCTGATCAGAACATTATAACTGGATAGCTCTATGTTTATTCCAGACAGCTAAGAACCTAATTGGTGTATGCATTTAGACTGTTTCCTGGCAAGTAAGCACAATCAACTTTAAGTTATGTATCACTTTCATTCAATGTAGAATTGGGCCTTTTGGCAATGGATTGATTCTATGATATTCAAACATACACTGTATGTGTGTACTATATTGGCAAAGAACAATAGAAATTGAAAGCATAGAGAAAAGAAATTTTAACCAAAAAGAAAAATCATCAATTTATTTTAGTTACTATTTTGCAAAAAAAAAGAGGGGGGGAGCTCTTACCCCCCAAAAATGTGAGGGGGGTAGTTGAGACAACTTTTCAAGAACAACAAATTCAACCAGTTTTAAAGTCTGTGTGTACTTACACATTTTTCACTGTCAAAGACATAACACAAGTGTTTATTTGATTCAGAATCTTTGCATATGAAAGTGAATATTCTTTTGTCAGTTTTGTCATCAGCACAAAATGATATCCTGTGGAGCTGGCAATTGTGCTGGACTTCCTGCAAATAACAAATGTGCAATTTACCTCTCGGAATTATATTTTGACTGCTGAATACTATTTATTCAAGGCGCCCAGGATGAAGCAGAGTCCTCTTAACAAAACATCAAAACAGAATTATATTTTATTCTTGTAGTCCTTAATACTGACTTTAATACTGAATTCATATATTTTTGTACACAGCGGTGTCTGCAGAGAAAGTCAAATGGTCAGTCTGATGAAAACAGGATTGTACTGTAACAACTCTCCTTTTGTCCTGAGGAAAACAGTAGAAGCTGTGGATGTCAATGTTACTCCAGCTGCATCGTTAGTTACAATTGCAAAGGTAATCTGGGTTTAATTTTCAGTTTCATAAGACAAGGAAACAAAAAACACAAGATACTCCATAAGATTCAACTCCATTCACAGGATGTTTTTGCTGTATGATACTCAAGTTCCTGCATTGATAATTATATTTATTACTGTACATCATATTTTCCCAATTGAGACAATTTTCTATGTTAAATATTGCAGACGTAAATCATGTCATCCCAGTGTAAGCATTTATAAAGTAACCCAAATGGCATGAGTTATCTTGCCTTGGGTAAAATTTTAAGGGGTAAAGAGAAATATGAGAACTCTTACCTTTGTTTTTGGATCTAGAATTTTTACGCCATATATGGAAATCTGTAACTCAACTTTTGGTGTTTTTTGGCCTTCAGATTTCTTAATATGTCTTGCAAACTGAAAACCAGAGAAAAATAATCATAAAGAATATTTTAAGATCCTACTTATATTATGTTCTTATAGTACTATCAATTAGTAGTTTCCCTAAAACTAGGATTTACAGAGTTTAAAATACTTTTGTCATTTTTTATTATGATTTAATTTCTATTCTGTCTTTCTGTTTATTCCAACAATTATTAAGTTCTCTTGGACTTAGTTTCTTTAAAATTTTTTTTTTCTTTTTTTTTTTTAGGAAAGCGGGTTTAGTTTTCAATGTGTCTTTCTTTCAGCAACAATTCCTTGGATTGGTAGTTCACTGTCTCTTTGGAGAATTTTCACTTTGCAAACCT